CAATATTTTCACTGCTCGAACCTCCAGCGACCGAGCCGAGCAAATACGAAGTACAGTGATCGACCAACTTAACTTCTTCTGCTGTAGAAAAATTTGTTCTACATGTCTAGTCTATGTGTTCTCCGGTCAGTAATAAAACTTATATCTTGTAAAAATCTATTCAAAAGCAATCACTTTTAATAATCTTTTTACCATTATTGCAAGCCATTTTCCGTTATGGATAGCATATAATTAATCAATATGTTTAATATTTTAACAATTGGTAAACATCACTTAATATATAATCTTAAGCTACAATACACGACAAATATAATTGAATATTATTTTTGTTGATCCACCCAATCAGTATTTAATCGAACATCTGCGCAAATATTGGTTAAGTCACAATCATCGATAAATTCAACGTGCGTAAAAGGAAAATGACCTTTTCGTCCATTTAGCTCCCCTTCCCACTGGCCATTTATATTGGTTTTGGTGACTTTAATAATATCTCCTACTTCCAATTTCAGTGCAGTTTTGTCATAAGCATTAGGCACACGAGACTGTTTAACACGAGCTCGAGCTGGCAATTTGCGCTAAAGATACGTAAAAATATTTGAATAAATTAAATAAATAATAATATATGACCGTTTTTTATATTTAAGTTACGCACGTTTAAATCAGTCCTTTTTAATGTACTAAATTGGCTGGATGATGTGGAAGGTGAATCGGAATTGCACCCAATCGTACGTGCAATACATCCGTTTGTAATTGAAGTAGCTGTATGGTCCATGCCATCCTCCTCAACTATGTCATCGTACTAAAAAAAAAAATAAATAAATAAAATATAATGGATGGATACTCTTTTTAAAAATAACCAAGAAAAGTTCAAGATTATGATGATTTAATTTGATGAAAGCAACTTCAAAAACAGAAATTTGATATTAACTGAATTTCCCCTTAAGATTGATCAACTTTTCGAAATCCATGCCTAGTGGTAGTATGAGTCGTTCTGAGAGATTGACTACTGTTGATATCCATCTTTATTATCGTGATGGATCTTAGTCCTCTTGCGGCGTCAGAGATCCGCAAATATTATATTACTTAATACATATATGATATAATATATCTATGGCAATATTATATTCATTGCACGAACTTGTATGGATACCATAACTTTTTATATACACTATCTTAAAAATAATGTTAGAGCTCTTTTGATAGTCTTAAACTTAAACGTTTAAAAATATTTCGGTTTTTTTTTCACATAAATCGTCTAAGTACACATTTCGTTTTGACATCCTATTTATTCCTTACATCTAAAACTTGTATATATATATGTTATTTATATAAAAGAATAAAATAATAAAAAGCTTACACGTTGAACATAGGGAACTGGTATTTGTCCAACTAGACCAGTGGAATTGCGGGCTGTCCACCATTGGTCTTCATCTTTTCTGATTATCGTGAGAACTTCACCTCGTTGAAATGGTAAATCGTCTTGATCCTAAATGCTACAAAATGTCACAAAATCTAAATTTTTCTTTTTATATACATACACTTCCAACAAAATCGAATTTGCCAATAACTTTTTCAAGTTTTTTCTGAGCAGGTCGCTTCAGTGGTGTGGTATCCAAATAATGCAGTGTATAGAAGGTCAATAACTTAGGAAGGTTTTCGAATGATTGGTCACCAATCCGGTAAACAATTTGGTCTTGTTGTTGCACCTTGTTTATAATGTAGTTACTAACCTTAGTGTCTTCTCTTTAATTAAAAATAAATAGCATGAAATATCCATCGACTTATGTGTACCATACATTGATGTTCACTTACCTAACGCAAAGGACGTAATCGCCTTCGATTGAATTGCTGTCGCGAACCAAAAAAACTCCTCGTTCCCTCTCACTCATTAATACTTCGGTTGCTTCTTGTCTAGTCATGGAGCCAAAATACCAGCTGAAACGATTTATATCAATTTTAAGTTATTTTGATGAAAATAATTAAAAGTGCAGTATAATGGTATATACATATGTATGTATATGAACGAAGATTTATGTTTACGGTCAACAATCGTTATTAAACGACCGGAATAACTATTTGTTTGAATTCTTACCTACTCCTATCAGAGACATCAAATGTATCCATGTTTGGTTCAAAATGGAAAAATGATATTCGGCTTCAATTTAATTTATCACCAATTTAGTATAAAAATATACATATACATATAATACATATGTATGAATAATATACAAATACATAC